CTTTAATGGTATGCAAGTCACATCTCAATAAAGGTGTTCAGAAACGGGAATACAGGTGTTAATGCATTGTATTTTGAGGGGGTGGTGCCTTGAAAGACTATAGAGTAAAACTGCTTAGATATTTTAGTACTCAAAAATGTTCCCATGTTTAGATTTAATTCCAAAGAAGACATGAAGACAGAGGGAACTTGGGAGTCACCGAGATTCCTTCAACTATCCATAACACGACGGAAAATATGCACATCTTGAGGAAAATGGGTATACTGAAAGATCTACAGTATATAATGCAAGGGCCTTAACGAACTATGAGCAAATACTGCTCATTGGAATTAAGATTCAAAGCTGGTAAAACAGCCCAAGGGCGTAAGGAATTCAAATTGACCAACCATGTTTTGTTTTGTTTTCTTAGATCATTAACAAGTACCTCGGGCCACTAGCAGTAATATGCAAATAAAGAGGCGAAAGGCATCATGGGCAGATTCCCACACGCGGGACCGCTGTCAGGAACCCTAAACGGAGCCTCTCAGCGTTTTTCTTTCCCGTGCGAGGGTTCAAGGACCCGGACACTTCAGCCCACAACCCCAACATTCTCGCAAAGCCTCCAGGTATTACTCAATCGCTCGGCGCACAGTGGAACAAGGAGGAAGATTTGGTAACCAAAGTGGTCACGTGACACAAGTGCGGGGAGGGCGGGAGAAAGAGGAAATCAAGGGGGCGCCTACACCCACCCCGGACGAGTGCTGCAGTCTCTGCCCCCCGCAGAGCACGCCAACCTGCGAACGGTCCCGGGACCCAGGTCTGAAAGCCCCAAAGTCCCCCGGAGTCCCCTAGTATGTGGTATTGGGGTCCCTGTGCCAGTGGTCCTTTTTGCGCCTACCTTGCTCCTGCACCATTTCCAGGACATCCGGGTCGCCCATCTTAGCCAGCTCGTTAAAAATACTGATGGCTGAGGTGCAGCGTGCGAGATGCCACTGCGATTTACTAAGAGACGAACCCAAAGACTGACCAAGAGTTTGTGGGAAGATACTGAATCTGATCGTGGCCCGCCGGATTCGCTCCTCCCCTTTCCTGACGTCGACCTTCTCCTCGATCTCCCCCAGTCTGGGGATCTTCAGCCAACTGGTCTTCTTCTCTAGCTTGTTCTCGAAATGCTCGCTGCCCTTGGCCTTAAACCTCAGCCTCCTCTCTCGGCGGTACTCCTGATACCCCTCCAAGTATTTTTCCCGTAAGGTGCCGTGCAGAAGGTCTCCGGGCTTCCCCACCTCCTTCCCGGGAGTCCCCGAGCTCTCAGCACTCGGCTTCTGCAGCTTTCCTTCCTCAGCAGCTTTGCGCCTCTTTCCCCGCCTCTCTCTCCTCCTCCTAACCTCGAACTCCGTCGAGCTCCCTCCTTCGGGGGCCGCCATCTCCCCGCCCCCTGGCCCTGCGGGCTCAGTGCCGCCCCACTCCAGTCTGTTATTGCTCTTCTCCGGCTCCGCCACCTGCTCGCGTCTGGTCTCTTCCCGACGCTCAGCAGGGCCCGCCGCCTCCAGTCCCTCCTCGGGGCCCGCGGCCCCCATTCCCTCGTCTGGGTCCGTGGCCCCCAGTCCTCCCTCGCTCTCTTGGCCATTATGCTCCATAACCAACTGGCTTCCCAGGTCCAAATCCTGCGGCTCAACCCATTTCCAGGACTCCCCATTCTCAGAGGTTGTAGCTTTCCCCGTCTCTAAACCCTCCTCAGATCTCTGCGGAGCGGCCGGTTGCTCCTCCAACCTCTGGTTCTGATACTCTTCCATCTGCCTAGCCTTGCGCCTTCATTGAGGCGCTCCCAGTTTGGGCGTTATTTTTTTGTCGGCGAGAAAAAGTCTCCCCTTCTTTAAGGGAGCATCCCTCTCCCTTTAAGTCCGCACTTGGCTGGGGTTCTCTAAGATTCTAACTGCCCCCTCACTCGGTTGTCCAGCGCGTGGTGTTAATTTTTCTTTAGGCAGGGCCTGTTTCCTGGACAAGGAACTGTACCTGCAGGGCTGTAGTCAGCGGTTGGGGGAAAATCATGTATTTTGAGCTCTGTTCCAATCACCCTCTCTCCGACCTTTAACAGCAGAATGGCTTTGGGCATATTTCTAATAGATTTTATTTTCCCATCTCTAAAATGAGAATGGTAATAGTACCCACATCTTGGGGCTGTTGCCAGTATAGTGTAGAGTGCTTGGCATAATGTGTTCATTATTTAACCCCTCGTAAAACTAATCTGTATCACGTTGAGCCCTCAGCCTACTCCCGAGTCTCTTAAGGTCCCTTGAGCTTGTCAGCTCAATCAGTGAGTCCCATCCTTGGTGTGCGCCTCTGGTTTGGGTCTGTGGTTTCCAGACCCCATCAACTGCTAGCTCCCCAATAATTGTAAGATAATAATTACTGTTTAATGGTAGTAGGGGAGTAAGGATCAACTAAGAATGAGGTAGAGATCTGAACTGAGGGTCTTGAGTGACCAGAGGGAGTAACTTTGAATTTGGTCAGGGATGATAATTTTAAAACAGAGGAGCTAATAAAGATAGACTTGATTTTTCTTCATTTTCATGCTACTCTCTTCCCCCTCCCCCTTTATATTGACATTTTTTAATTGAGAATTGCCTTTTACAGTAAGACCCACAGAGAAGTGTCTTGATGATGGTAATGGCTACTGGAACTGGAAAACTTACTTTTGTTTTCTTTATACCTTGTTATCTGTTCCCTACTTAAACCTGTAGGAATACATATGTTCTGGTCAAGTAAATTGAAATACTTGACTTATTTTGTAACTGTGTTTGAAATTGAATGTACATAAATCAAGCAATAGACTCATCTGTGATTATGATACTTCCTTAGATATGTTTGTTTTTTACCTCTTGATTATTCATCATTGTTTGACTATAATAAAATGTTTATAACCTGATTTGCTTCATGTTCTTCCTGTACCCCAGGAAGTCTGCTAGGTGCTGTGGATATTGTGATTAAGCCAATCCGTATACAATCTTTGCTTTACATAGATTAAAATAAATTATTTTATGTAATTTCCTATAATTATGTTTTATCTTTGATTTTGCACACTATTTGAAGTGCCATATATGAGGATACATTTAATGTTGATTTTGTACAATATTAATGAATTGGATGATGAATTTGTTGACATTTTATCAATATCTTGTAAATTTGGTGACTAAAAATTTGAAGAGTTCTAAGTATTCTTTTGATGATTTTCTGTCACTGAAACATTTTATCATGCTTATGCATCCAGAGTTTGAGGACTTGTACATGTCCACCATTGCTACACTCTGCCTTTTTGCACAGCTTCTTCAACTATACGTTCTCAAAATTATGGTCTGAGTAATGAGTACATGTTCTTTTAATGTAATTGAGCACACAGATAAATTTGGGATTGGGGACAAAAAGATGTCATTCTTAGCACTCCAAATGATTTCAGCTCTTCTTTCAAGGTCATTCAATCTTTATTTAATGTTATTACAAACATTAAATAAATGGTAGTCCCTTTTTAAAAAAGAAATATTTGCTTTTGTCTTATACCAAGGTGGGCATACAACAGTATTTAAATTATAATAGAAATTAGCTGCAAAACTAATCTACATTAATAGAAAATAGCTGCACATATATATGTAATCCTATACCTCCTTGCTGTCTCCTATTTTCAGAGGAAGGGCAAAATCTCTTCACTTGCTAAATTTATCACTTTGAATCCTGGGCCTCTGGAATGGGTGCTAGGGCTGTTTACTAGCACCTTCATCACTGCCTACCATCTTGCATTCTTCTCTGTCCTAGATGGTTTGCTTTACACATTGGCCACTGACACAATTGTCAACATTAGAAAGCTGATTAATCCTATCTAAATGCCACGGCACTCCTATCTAATAGTAATAGGGTGTGTCTAGTTTACCTTCTAACTAGAAAAATGAGATTAGTTCTCAGACTAGAGTTGGAAGACTGGCCCCGCAAAAGATAAGGAACAAGGATATGTTCTCCCGTGGCTGCTTGCAAAAGCAACTGATTTTTCACATGGCATGACTTTGCTTGCCACCTGCCAAGGCTTTCTATCACATATAAGGGAAATCTTTCTTGCCAGTAGGGTGATAATACCATATCCACATGACCTGGCCTGGTTATAATATTCCGGCCTCTCTCATCACTTCCCAGCGAGACTGTCTTGTTGCAACTCCTCAACACAGCGAGTGCATCCCCCGTCACTTGCCCAAGCACTTGTATTTGTCCTCTCCAGAAAGATCTTCAAACAGTGCTTGATGGTTCATCTCTTATATCATAAAGTTGTCAGTGCAAATATCATTTCCTTGAAAAAAACTCTGCTGACCACACTCAGAGAGCTTCCTATGTCACTATCCTCTTAACCAGTGTTATTTTTCTTTTTAGAAGCCATCTTTCTGACTTTGTATTTGCTCAGCCATATTTATTTGTTTATAAGCTCCAAGGAAGCTCAGGTTTTGTTGGTTCTCTTCGCTGTTGTCACCGTGGCATTTAGAATGGTATCTGACAACAAATATTTAATGAATGAATTTTATGACTAATATCATCACATTTTCTAGCCCCTGAGTCAGTAGCTAATTCTTCCAATGCCTCTTGCTTTCTAGCAGCTGGGAGAGTTATCATATTACACACTTTAAGTGTACTGTGGCTCTGAAAATGCCAAATGCCATTCTGAAAAATATTTTTTTAATTCTGAAGAAACAATTTATGATGTGGTAAGCAGGGATCCAGTTGAGCTTAGC